TAAAGAAAAAAGTCCTAGCTTATCCCACCTCTCCCTATAACTCAGTCCATAGAGTCCTGGTAACATCCTTGTATTACTTCTGCACTCTTTCTAGCTTAATAACATCCTTCCCATAGCAAGGTGACCAAAACTGAACACAATACTCTTAAGTACAGCCTCACCAACGTCCTTGTACAACTGCATCATAACTTCCCAACTTCTATACTCAATACCCCAACTGATGGAAGGCCAGTGTGCCTAAAGCCTTCTTCGCTGCCCAGTGTACCTGCAACTCCACTTTCAGAGAACCATGCACCTGAACTCCGAAGTCCCTCTCTTCCACTATACTCCTTAAGGCCCTACCATTCACCATGAAACTCCCACCTGGATTTGACTTTCCAAAACGCAACACCGCATACTTATCTATATTAAACTCCATTTGCCACTTCTCGGCCCACTTCCCCCACCTGATCAAGATCCTGCTGCAATTTCTGATAACCTTCCTCATTGTCCACGATACCGTCTATTTTAGTGTCATCCACAAACTTATTAATCATGCCTTGTACATTCTCAACCAAATCATCGATATAGATAACAAACAACAATGGGCCCAGCACTGACCCCTGAGGCACACCAGTAGTCACAGGCCTCCAGCCCGACAAGTATCCTTCCAGTACTACTACTCTGCTTCCTACCATCAAGTTAATTGTGTATCCAATTTGCCCGCTCTCCCTAGATTCCATGCAATCTAACCTTCCAGAGCAGCCTATGTGGAACTTTATCAAAGGCTTACTGAAATCCATATCAACTATGCGGCCACCCTGCCCTCATCAACCTTCCTGGTCACTTCATCAAACAACTCTAACAAATTTGTAAGGCATATCTCCCACGCACAAAGCCATGCTAACTACTCCTAATCAAACCATGTCTTTTCAAATCTTATCATCCCTCAGAATCTTCTCAAGTAACTTACCTACCGCAGATGTTAAGCTTACTGGTCTATAATTTCCAGATTTTTCTTTGCAGCTCTTCTTCAATAAGGGCACAACATTCGCTACCCTCCAGTCTTCCAGGACTTCACCCATAGCAAACGATGATGCAAATATACCAGCCAGGGCCTTCGCGATTTCTTCCCTAGCCTCTTGTAGGGTTCTTGGTTACATCTAGTCAGGGCCAGGAGATTTATCCACCTTCAAACATTCTAATACTTCCAACACCTCCTGTACTGTGATATGGACTGTCCCCAAGATATCGCCACTAACTTCTCCAAGTTCCCAAGTCTTCATGTCTTTCTCCACGGTAAACACAGAAGTATTCATTGAGGACCTTGCCCATCTCTTGCGATTCCACACACACACTGCCACTTTGGTCCTTGAGGGGTCCCATTCTCTCTAGTTATTCTTTTTCCTTTAACATATTTAAAGAATCTTTAGATTCACCCTAATCTTCTCAGTCAAAGCTATCTCATGCCCTCTTTTCACCCTCCTGATTTCCTTCTTCAGTAAACTTCCGTATCCCCTATGTACCTCCAGAGATTCCCTTGACCCCAGCTGCCTGCTCCTCAGCCATGCCGCTTCCTTTTTTTCTGATCAAAGCCTCAATATCTCTCGTCATCCAGGGTTCCCTGCTCCTGCCAGCCTTATCCTTCACCCGCACAGGGACATATAGACCTTGAACTCTAGCTATCACACTTTTAAAGGCCTCCCACTCACCAGAGGTCCCTTTGCCTGCAAACAAACTACTTCAATCAACCCCTGCAAGCTCCTGTCTAATTCCATCAAAATTTGCCTTGCCCCCAATTTAGAACTTGAACCTGTGGGCCAATTGTCTTTTTCCATAACTATTTTAAAATTAATAGAACTACGGTACCAAAGTGCTCGTCTACTGTCACCTCAGTCACCTGTCCTGCCCTATTTCCTAAGAGTAGGTCAAGTTTTGCTCCTTCCTGAGTAGTACCCTCTGTACACTACTTAAGGAAACTTTCCTGAACACATGGAGTTATGGAGTCAGTTACAGCACAGAGTGGTGTTTAGTCCATCAAATCTGTGCAGATTCGCCGTCAAACAATCCTGTTAAACCCACTGTCCTGTTCCATCTCCACAGTCAAGGCTACTTTTGAAATCATTGATCATTGCCACTTTGGCAACAGATTCTAGGTCATTATCACTCAGTATCCAGAAGATCTTCCTCACAAACAACTGAATATACCATCCAATAATAAATACGGGTTTGAAATACTTAACGAATTATGGATCAAAATAATTGATTTTTTAAACATTATAATTATGCTTGTATTTTAAATGGTTAAGGTTAACTTCTTTCAAAATATCAATAAAAAGTAGCTTACTATCAATTTATTTGCAGAACTTTAACGGAAAGTGGAAATGGAAACTAATATGACAAGTTTTGGAATTTTGATTGTTTTGAAAGAAAAGCCGACGAACGTGGTTAGTGGCTAGAGGCTAGAGATTGTTTGTTTAAAAAACAGTCTGCAAGTAATATGAAACAATGACCTAAATCCAGCAAAGCTCAAAGCATGTGACTGAAGATTCCTCTGCTGTTGACAAAATGAAATTTACTATAAGCAGAGTAAACAGAAAAAAAATCATTTCTCTTGCTCTCATTTCAAAAGAATTGTAGGGTCGAGCTCAGAAGCAAGTTTAGCTTCTCTTCAGAAGGGCAATTTACGGTACAAGTCACCTCAGTAGAAGAATTCTGTTTGTTAATCATTCCAACTGGGAGCGTTTAATTAGAAATTTGCAGGTTCTAAGAATTGAGAAAAAATGTAGGCTCTCTAAGTTTTGAAAAACTTAGAGGCAGCAGACTTGTAAAGGACTACTGAATTGTCTCCACATTCCATGGCAAATAAACACTAAACAGTTGAGGTAAGGGTGTGATTTCTCAGGACTCCAGTCTCCGCAATAGATAGTGAAGAGAACTAGGTTGACTCTTCTGAAGGAGGGTCCCGAACCAAAACGTCAGCTTCCTGCTCCTTTGATGCTGCCTGGCCTGCTGTGTTCCTCCAGCTCCACACTGTTTTCTTCGGTTGACTCTTTGTTTTGCTGTGCTTTTAGATCATTCTTTATATTTAGGTAGCTTGTTTTGTTCTTTTCTTGTGTGTAATAAACATCCATGTGTTGTTAAGAAAATCTGCAGGCTCATGTGAATATGTTTCATTGACTAACCAGTAAGTTAACAAGCTAAACAAATAAAAATAAAGATGTGATCTACATAGATAGTAGGAACTGGCAATGCTGGAGAATCTGAGATAACAAGGTGTAGAGCTGGATGAACACAGCAGGCCAAGCAGCAGAGGAGCAGGAAAGCTGATGTTTTGGGTCGAGACCCTTCTTCAGAAAACGTCAGCTTTCCCTCCTCTGTTGCTGCTTGGCCTGCTGTGTTCATCCAGCTCTACACCTTGTTACATATGACGTACATAGCCAGTTTCAATCAGCATCCAAAGTTGTGCAGGTTAGGTGGATTGGCCATGCTAAATTGCCCCGTAGTGTCCAGGGACATGTAAGCTAGATGGATAAGCCAAGAGAAAAATCAGGGTTTGGGGGACATGGGCAGGGGGTGGTTGTACGCTCTTCAGAGGGTCAGTGCAAACCCAATGGGCCAAATAGCCTCTTCTGCACTGTAGGGATTCTATGGTTTGACTTGCCCAGTATTACTATCAGCTGGGATGAGAACAACTGCACATACTTAGTCCCCAAACACTGAATAAGCAGATGACACTGGCTTGATAATATTGATATTGAAGAACTTCTGTTTAATTACTGGGATATATTTTCGAGGCACCAGCTTCATTTTTGAGCTCAGTTTTTGTCTAGCTTTGATCTAGAATAAAAGATTTTCAGTGTATTCTTTTAAAAATTGAAGTCATGGTGTACAATTATGTAATGAGGTTTTGCAGTTTCTTGCATTAAGAGTTCCTGATTTCAGACAAAATATCAATTATTTCTCATACATACATCTTATTTGGAGGTTCATACATCTCCTGACAATTGATTATACAGCAACATTCCTAAGAATTTTGTTTTCCATCCTCTCAGTCAATGAATTCACACATTGAGTGAATAAGGCAAAGAGATGCAAGAGGCCAAGGTACAGCGTTTAAGAACATGGATGCTTGAACTGTCTAAAGAGTTGGTTAGGCTACAACTAGAATATTGCGTGCAGGTCTGGAATCCATGTTATGGGAATTGTGCGACTGTACTGGGAGTGTGTAGAGGACATATGCCAGGATATTTCTGGGCTAGGGAGTTTTAGTTGTAATGAGAAATTGGAAAGACTGATCGTTTCCCTTGGAGCAGTGAAAATTGACAGAGGGCATCAATGAGATGTGTAAAATTATGAGGAGCATACGTAGGGTAGACAGGAAGGAACTCCTCCCTTTGGTGGTGAAATCAACGACCCGGGACACAAATTGAATGTAATGGGCAGGAGATTTAGAAGGGCGCGAAGAAATTCATTTTCACTCAGGGGGTGGTGGAAATCTAGAGCTCACTACCTGGCAAAGGCAGAAACCCTCATAACATTCAGAAGCATTTAGCGGTGCACTTGCAAAGTCATGGCATTTAAAGCTATGGGCGAAGTGTTGGAACATGAAATTATAAGAGTTATGTGGTTGTATTTGACCGGTTTAGACTCAATGGGCCTTTTTCTGTGCTGCACGCCTGTAACAGAATCTAACGCACAACCATAAATATTTTAATAAAAACACAAACAGGCAAAATGTTTGATTGCAACAATTAAATTAAATTCAGCTACACCAAACCTTATGAAGTTTTTGATGTTTGGCTTTCAAAGAAAAATGGAATGGGCTCATGAAATCCCTCAAAAAGATTTTAACTTATTCAATCAATGAATGCCAATAACCAATGATCAACAGTATTGTAGTATGTTACACCACACAATGAACTCTGAAATCATATGCATACACTAATGTCACCATAAGAGCTGCTCAGAAAGTGAAAATTTCAATTGAAAAGATACTGTAGAATGAAGATGCAGTTTACCTGTGCTGCAAGTCTCTTCAAAGCTTCTTCCCTTTGCCTTTGTAGCTCAGGCATTCCAGGAACACACTCAGTGTTCAATGCACTGCTATTATGTAAGGATGAAGACGTTTGGGACAGTTGGCTCAGTGGAAGTTCCTGGTGTAGGTCTGTACCTGTTGACAGTTTAAATAGATTAACAGTAATAGTTAATGAAAAATTAGAACTTCAACCAACATTGACTTATGACACTTTTGGGGCAGAACAATCACACAGAAATGAATGTAAAACGATATACATGTCACTGGAAAGAGGCTCCACATTCTAAACAATTAGCATAGGTATGAAGACATTTGGGCTTAAAGCAAGAAGGCTGAACCTTGCTGGAGAAAATAAAAGCGCTCAAGAAACAGTGGCTGGCACTGCTGCTTCACAGTGCTAGGGATCCAGGTTGGATTCTAGCCTTGGGCGACTGTCTGTGTGGAGTTTGCACATTCTCCAAATCTGTGTGGGTTTCCTCTAGGTGCTCCGGTTTCCTCCCACATTCCAAAGATGTGCAGATTAGGTGGACTGACATGCTCAATTGTCCCTTAGTGTCCAGGGTTGCGGCAGGCTAGGTGGGTTAGCCTTGGTAAATGCGGGACTATGGGGATAGAGTGGGATGCTCTTTGGAGGGTTGGTGCAAACTCGACAGGTTGAATGGTTTCTTTTTGCTGTATACTGTTTGATACTGTATTCGATATTACTAACATGTTAATCAGCTGCAAGTTGAAGGGACTAAGATACAAAATGAAAGTCAGTGCTCTCTAGAATTTATGCACTCTGATTTAGTTAACATTAACAGTTAGCTTTTCTGTTATTTTTAACTACTTGCTGGATTTGCACATCAATTGCCCATTAAAGCTTGCCACCCAAATTTAAGCCTGGTATTTCAAGGAGGGAGTAAGAGATAGATCAGGTCAAATCAAACCAACCTCTCTCTGCGTGAGGAAACTATTGGAAGCAATTCTGAGGGTCAAAATTGATCTGCACTTGAAGAGGCAGGGATCAATGAAGAACATTCAGCAAGCTTTTGTTAAGAGGGGTCATGTCTGACCAGCTTGTTCGAAATTTTTTGAAGGGGTACTCAGATGTGTACATGAGGTCGATGCATTCAATGTAGTCTACTTGGACTTCAGTATGGCTTTTGACAAGGTCCCCATGGGAGATTTGATAGCAAAGGCAAGACCCCATGAGATCCAAGGAAATTTTTCAAATTGGATTCAGAATGGGTTGAGTTGCAGGAAATAGAGGGTGATAGATGAGGGGTGTTTTTGTGTCTAGAAATCTGTGTTCTTGAGAAGTTCCACAAAGATCAGTGCTGGGCCCCTTGCTGTTTGTTGTACATATGAATGAGTTAGACTTGAACACAGGAGAGTTGATCATTAGTTTTGCAGATGGCACTAAAATTGGTGGGTTGGTAAATAGAGAGGAGGATAATCTTAGGTTAGAGGAGGATATAGATGGGCTGGGCTGGGCTGGGCAGAGCAGATGGGTTGATCAATGGCAAATGGAATTCAATCTGGATAAATGCAAGATGATACATGTTGGGCAGAATAAACATGGCAAGGGAATACATCATGAATGGTAGGATCCTGGGAAGCAGGACCTTGGTGTGCATGTCCAGAGGTCTCTTAAGGTATCAATACAGATGGATAAAATGGTTAAGGGGGCATATTGGATATTTGCTTTTATTAGATGATGCATGGAGTTTAAGAGCAGGGAGGTCGTCTGAAACTGTATAAAACATTCACAGAGTTTTTGTGTGCAGTTCTGGAATCCACATTACAGGAGGGATGTATTAACGCTGGAGAGGGTATACAGGAGATTTACTAGGATGTTGCCTGGCTGGAGAATTTCAGTTATGAAGAGAGACTGGACAGACTGGGGCTTGGAGCAAAGCAGATTGAAAAGGAGACTTGATTGAGCTGTAAGTCATGAAGGCCATACATAGGCTAGACTCGAAGAAGCTTCTCCCCTTGGAGGAGAAAATGACCTAGGGACATACATTTAAAAGGTAAGGGTCAGGAGGTTTAGAGGGAGTGTGAGGAAAAATAAAATTTAACCTAGAGGGTGGTGGTTTACTGGAGCTGACTGCCTCTACTGGTTGTAGAGGCAGTAGCCCTCATAACATTTAAGAGGTATTTAGGTGTAGACTTGCAATGCCAAAGCATACAAAGCTATGAGCCAAGTGCTGGAAAATGGGATTAGAATAATCAGCTGCTTGCTTTTAACTTGGTGCAGACTCAGAGCTAAAGGTCCTTTTTCAAGTCCAGTGGTCAGACAAAGAGTCACTGGATTCAAAACATTAACCCTGCTTTCTTCCCATGGATGCTGCCTGACCTACTGAGTTTCTTCAGCAACTTCTATTTTTCATTCAGCTTTTCTAGTTCTTTTTCCTTCATTGTTCTTAAAAATTGTGATGGTTAAGCAGATATTTTTTAATCAACCCGATAGAGCACATTATGACGCACCTCTAGAGCAGTTGAGACTTCAACCCAGACCTTCTGGTTGAGAGATAGGGACACTATCACTACACCACACCTCCAAGAGCTAAATTATTGTCCATCAAACTGTTCAGACAGTATGATGCACCTCCAGAGCAGCTGGAAGACTACTACTCCCACTATTAATAATTATTTCTGAAATTTCCTCCCCAATGGCATTGTGGGTCAACTTACAGCTAATGGACTTCAGCAATTCAAGAGGGTAGTTCACCACCACCACCACCACCTCAATTGCAATCAAGGATGGGCAATAAATGCTGGTTCAGCCAGCAACACCCAGACCGTGATTAATTCTTTTTTCAAAAATGTCATTGCCCTAGATATGCCATAATCAGCTTGCACTTGCAATAATTTATCCTCAAAATTATTAACAGACAATAACCTTAGAAAAACGTGCTCTCAACAGAATTCCGGATAGGGTAACAACAAAAATAATGGCCTTGTGTTAAAAACAAAAACCATAAATGATATCTGTGCTTTAGTTTACATATTTTGGTCATAATGAACAACCTCGAGGCAGATTACATCACTTGATTCAATGGCTAGCATCTGATTCAGCATAATCAATTCCCATTCCAGCTGAGGTAGGTTTGAGATCTGCCTCCTTGCCTTGAGTGAAAGGCAACTGCAAACTGCTGATAACTGCCAAACAAACCAGCTCAGTATGAAACATCAGCAGACAATGAGTTAAAGTCCTGCATTCAAACAGAGCTCTCATGACTGAATGAAGTTTATATAAAAAAAATCTGTGAAATTAAAATTACTGTTAGTAAGATTCTTTTACATCTAATTATCGGAGATCAAAAATTAATGGATAGAAATATGCACATCAAATGTATTCCCACATAACATGCTATATATTGAACACACCTAATATTGAACAAACAAAACATTAGAAATAATCAGCAAGTCAGGCAAAACACAGAGAAAGCAAAAAGGTTGATGTGCTTTCATCAGAACTGGAAAACATTAAAGGTGTAACAGATATTAAACAAGTACAGACCTAGAAAGGAAGGGGCAAGAGTGCAGGAGATGGAAGGTAGTACTATGCTGGAATGTAAACAAAAGGGATGATGCTATATAGGTCATTAGGAGGAACAATAAGGCAATGAAAGAAAAGATGGGCCTGGAGGAGCTGCAATTGGGAACAACAAAATAATGACCTGCAGCTGCTGTCTAAAAAAATAAATTTGAGAAGCAACTATAATTTGCAATTGTAGAACTCCAAATTGTCGGATTCCAAAGATTACAAAACACATCACTGATCTAATTAGCAACTCCAACATTTTCTCTCCAGACTTCAAATGTCCAGCAATCACGGTATATTATCGGATACCACAATGTTTATCTTCAAACAAAGAATGCATTTCAGTCCTGTACAATTATGAATTTCAATTCAATGGCCTGAAAAAAAATCCCCTTTGGCATCTTCCTGGGTTGAGATGCACTATACTTCACATATTGCAGACAAGAAACTTACTTTTTGAGAAAACACTGGAGCAATTTGATGCAATTTGTCTCATCCGACCTCCATGACAGCTCAGTGCCACTAGCCTGGAAATTATGGCTGTTTTCCCAAAACCAACATTTCCAATAATTACTGCTCCTTTGTTCTCTGAAGTCTCTCCATTGTGCAATTTCTCATCTATCTTCTGGAACAGCCAATCCCGACCAATAAATATTGAATCTGTAGTAATGCTTGGCACCTCAAACAATAATGGCTTTAATACAATATCAACAGGCTTGTATGGAGAAAATCGCACTAAATAAAATCAAGAAAACAGACTGGATTAATTTTCACTGACATCTCTTAAAAATATGCTCATAATAGCACTATAATTTTCTTGTTATTCAAGTACATTTTACACTTAGTATACAAAAACAAAAATAATTACAAGTTTTGCCCAACGAAAAGCAAGTCAAGACTATATACTGCATCTGAAAATTTGAAACAAAATCAAGCCAAAAACACTGTTGCTCAGCGTCCAGAAATAGTAACTTTATACATAAAGTTTTAAATAATTTATATATCATTTATATAATTTCAATGTTGTCTTTTGAATTGAAAATCGATTTGGTATTTTGAGTGTTACTACAACATGTATCCAACACAGGTACTTCTCCTATAACGTGATAGTTGCACTTGTGTGATCTTGCGCCATAGAAAATTATGTTATAGGGAAATCACTAGAGAAAAATCGCGATACTGTATAGTAGCAAGTTTGCCTTATCCAAACAGCGCCCACTATTCATCAATTGCGTTACTGCCAATTCATGTTAATGAAACACGCATTACAGCAGAAATATCTGTACAAAACACTTAACTGAAGATTACATTCTTACAATATCACAGCATTGTATACCATCGAGGCAGATTTTAAAAGAAATATTAATTCTGATAATACCAATAATTATATTTAATTTAGCAATGATGGAATAAAAGAGTTGCATAAATATAATATCTAAACAGAATTATTCAAACCTTTACTGTTAAATTATGTTGCATATTTATTATAATGCATCATGTTCAGATAACCAAAAATTCAACTTTCAAGGAGGTCAGGCACTTCCGCCAGCAGAAGAATAAATGATACCTATGGTAAAACAAAGTTCTGGACTGATAACTCCAGATTAACCAGTTATGCAAAATTGTTGTACATCTGTCAACCAGAGTGGAAGTAGGTAATGATATGTGCAAATTTTCAATGGTCTGGATAAGCCATTTTACACCAAGATGTCTCTGTGAGAGGATGTTCAAACCCTCAAAGATGGGTAAATCTACGAGAAATTTAAAAAGACTTGCCAATTGGAACAAAGTGAATATAAAAAGCAAGCTGAAAATCATGGTTCAGTGAAAAACTGGCCTGGCTAAGGAGTGGAGGTTTCCACCACTGACACTTTCTACCATTCTGAAGAAAAAAAAACTGAACAACTTGGAACAATTTGACAGGCAAGCATTCTCTCCAGCAAGGACATGGATGAGAATAGCTGCCCATCCCAAGATCCAAAAATCACTGCTAACATGGCTCAAGGCAGCTCAAGTAAATAACACTGCCATCTATGGTCCGATTCTGCAGGAAAAGGCCTGACTACAACAAGTTCATCCGCATCAATGGATAGACCAACTCTCGACAAGATACAGTATTTCATTTCATGCAGTAAATGACAGTGCAACAATAACAGCAAGATGGTCTCACCATGTCCTGAATGAGCAATCACCAATGACATTTTTAAAACAGATAAAATCTAACTGTTTTACTCTCCTTTAACAGATCGCTCTTTGAGGTTCAAAGATGAAACATGTAACAGCACCAAAAAAAAAACTATTGCATTGTGATTGGAAAGTCCAAGAATTCCTGCTGCTTTATAAATGTTAAGAGACTATCCATGCAGCACGTGGTTAAAAAACACAGTTTCAAAGTCTTTGGAGTTGTAATGTTAACTTTTGTTTCTCCCAAGATGTTTCCAGACCTGCTGAGTTTCTCCAGCATCTTCAGTTCAGATTTCCAATCTTTTCTTCATTCGCTTGTGGACTGTGGGCATCGCTGGCTGGCCAGCATTTATTGTGTGTACCTAGATGCCCTTGAGAAAGTGGTGGTGGGCTGTCTTCATGAACTACTGCAGTCCATGCAGTGCAAGCAGACCCACAATTCTACTAGGCAGGGAATTCCAGGATTTTGACCCAGCAACTGTGAAGGAATGGTGATGGCGTTATATTACAAGTAAGCATGGAGACTGGCTTGGAGAGGAACTTGCAGGTAGAGGTGTATGTGCTGCCCTTGCCTTCTTGATAGAAATGGTGATGGGTTTGGAAGGTGCTGTCTCAACACCTTTGGATGAATTTCTAAAATGCAGATTTACATAGTACACACAGCTCGAGCATTGGTGGTACAGGGAGTGGATACTTGTGAATGTGGTGGCAAGTGGGCAACTTTCCTCTGGATGGTGTCAAGCTTCCTGAGGCTTGTTGGACGTGCACCCATCCAGACAAGTGGGCAGTATTCAATCACACTTCTGACTTGCGTTTACCGTTGACCAGAACTCAACTCGACCAACTCTACCAATAGTTTGGTTATAAATAAAAACCGAAAGAACTGCAGATGCTGTAAATCAGGAACAAAAACAATGTTGCTGGAAAAGCTCAGCAGGTCTGGCAGCACCTGTGAAGGAACAAACAGAGTTAATGTTTCGGGTCCGGTGACCCTGTTCCGAGGAAGGGTCACCAGACCAGAAACGTTAACTCTGTTTGTTCCTTCACAGATGCTGCCAGATCTGCTGAGCTTTTCCAGCAACTTTGTTTTTGTTCTTTGGTTATAAATGCAGGTTAGAGGCTAGGAATCCTGCAGCAAGTAACTCACCTCCTAACTCCCCAAAACCTGTCAACCATCTAAAAGCAAAAAGTCAGGGTTATTATGGAATACTCCCCACTTGCTTGGTTAAGTGCAACTCTAAAATCATTCAAGAAGCTTGATGTCATCCAGGACAAAGTAGCCTGTTTGATTAGCACCACATCCACAAAAGGTTCACTCTGTCCACGACCAATGTGTAATAGCAGCAGTGTGCACAAAATGTTCTATAGAAATTCACCTGACTTGGAACTATACACTGTTCCTTTATCATTGCAGAGTCAAAATCCTAGAATTCCTTCCCTCTCAGCTCAGTAGGGAGAAGCATTTCAAGGCAGCAACTCACCACCACTTTCTCCAGGTCAATTTGGGATGGACAATAAATGCTGGCCTAGCCAGAGACATCCACAACCAATGAACAAATGAAAAAATTAGTTCAGCAAAGAAAATCGTTGGCCTTACCATTGCACAAGCCCATTGTTGCATGCCACTTTTAAATAACTGTGAACTGGGTGCCACTGACTCTCTTAAAAAGTAGGCCTTAATAAATGTTGGGCTGGCCAGGGATGTCTGCATCACATGAACAAAACAATAAAAAAGGCAGTAAAGCTCAAGTAAAGTCTGACGCTACCTCCATATTCCAAAGGGGGACTGTAAGTGTTGGTTGCATCTGTTCCAACTCCCTTTTATCTTAAGAAAAAGTAGGAAAATCTTGCTCCGATTAAATAGGATGTTTGTGCAACCATACACTATAAGTAAGGAGTGATATACTTGCTGTAGAAGCAGTTCAAAATAGTTTAATTTATTTGATTGCTGGGATGAACTGACTGTCTTACAAGGAAAGACTGAGCAGCTTAGCCCTGTAGCCATTGGAGATTAGAAGAATGAGAGGCTATTTTATTGAAACAGAAGATTGTGGGGTTTGACAAAGTGGATGCTGGAGAACATTTCACTTTGTACAGGCCTCGAACTTGAAAGCAAAACTTCAGAATCAGAAGTCGCCTTATTTAAATGGAAATAAAAGATAATTTATTCTCTCAGACAGTCACAAATTTTTAAAATTCTTTGAGACTTTACAAAGACTGTCATTGACTAGTTCAAACGGAGACGGATTTTCGAACTATATAATATTCAAGGGTCATGGGGGACAGGCAGAAATGTGGAGAGGAGGCCTAGATCAGATCAGCCTGGATCTTATTGATGAGAGGTGTTGTGCTTACTCCCACTCTTTTGTCTGTTCTCCTTGTAGAAGTTAATAATACAGTAGGCAAATCTAAATTAACTAGGTTATCAATCCGAAAATATCGTAATGTCACACATTTAGGGTGATAATTTAAATTTGAAAATGGTAAGAAACCCAGGCAAATATTGAAGTGTTTAGAAAACGGACTCACTGGAGGAGAGGCAGGATCTAAATCCTTTTGTACATTTAGGTACAGGAACAGTGCCACAGAGAAAGTAATCCTATAAAGAGCAAAGTTACAGTGCAATGATCATGCACACAGTAATCACACAATTTTCATTTACACAACTACATCCTATCCACATTCTTAACATTACATTACAGTATTGTGCAACTTCCTTTCCATTTTTCCAGTTGTTTTGTCTTTCCGCAGTTTTACTTTTATTCTTAAAGGGACCATGGTGCAAAATTGATTAAAAAGAAAAGAGTATTGCTGAATATCAGGGAGACATTTTGTCAAAGTTTCTCTTGCACTCATTAGGACAGATGAAAGAATACCAAATGTAGGAAGATAGGAACAGGAGAAGTGTGTAGAAGTGCTTTGTAACATCTCTGCTGAATGGTCTGACCTTAATTTTTAGACTACGCTCCCAAGAGGTGGACTGTGTGGGTTCACAGTATGGCTCACTGATGCTTGCTTGAAGCTAGCTGCTATATATATTCATGTGTACAGCCCCATCCTCTATAAGCAGTAAGATCGCATTTAGGAATTGCAGCTTTTCCAGATAAACAGAAGTGTGGGGGACAACGGTTCCCTTGTTCCCATGGTAATACCTCGACCAGAGTTGACTTGGCCATTCTGAATTTAAATAACTGTTCCCTGGTAAATTATCCGTGGTAACACCTCACCAATTGAAATCAACTTGTCAATCAATAAGCAGCCTTTCCTTATGCAGTTTAAATTATTGCTCACTTTGAAATTTGGCATTCTTAGCTGTGCTCTAACAAGTGCAGGATAAAAAGCTTTGACAACATTTTTTTCCAGCAGTACAGATGTTGTATGACCAAGCAGCTATTTCAGTTACAAGAAATTCAATATAAAGCAATTTCATGAACAGCATTCCTTGTTTGGAAACAAATTAGTTGTCAACAAGTCAGTCTTCTTGTGCTGTTTGCTTTCAAAAATGGTAAAAGTTGTAACTGCTTAACTCTATAACTGTCAGTTTCTAACTTCTATTTTCTTGAAAACACATGCAAGACACTTAGACAAGAGTTGATTATTCAATTCTAACTTTACTTAAAATTCTGCTCCTATCTTATTACTAACATCTTTGAAACATTTAAACTAAATATATTTCAGCACATTGCTTTAGGAATGACCAACTGATGAGTCATAGGCATCACTAAAAATGCTTGATGGTTACAAGGACTTAAAAGAATTATAATTTTGGAACAAAAATGGAATCAAGGAGTTTGTGGCACAGTGGTAAATGTTACTGGACCAGCAATCTAGAACACCAGGACATTTGCTTGAATCCCATTATGGCATATGGTGAAATTTGAAATCAATAAATCCGGGAATAAATGACAAAATCCCATCTAATGGCCTTTATCTGGTTAGGCCTATGTGGTGACTCTAAACCCACCACAAAATGACTGATATTTAATTGCCTTCTGGAGAATCAGAGATAGGCAATAATTGATGGTTTAGCCAATGATGCCAATATGTTGAGTGCATTTTTACAAACTGATTATTTTTTGTTACAAAATGTTAAAATTACCCATTTACTGTCACCAATTTTTAATTACAGCTGGACATAATGCATTTAAAGAATATTATACTGTCAGTAGGACAATTCATAGTCCCAATAAGTTTGTTGCTATCCAAAGCTATGTAACTTGCAGGTTTTGAACTAATTATGATTTGAAAAATAACAGAACATTGTTTCAAGTTATGTAATGAACCACAATGCAACATTTCTAACCTTTAAAAACAAATTCGTGGTTTGTTACAAAAACATCAGCATATGTACATACAGCAATACCACACCTTTCACATTTTGTTGTACTCTTCCTCCAGCTGTGTTATGCCAAGGCATCCTAAAAGAGGTACGCAATGGTGCATTCCTTTCATCCAGGTAACTCAAATCTTCCAGCTTTGTTGAACTCGTGGCTGGAACAGCAAGAAGTCAAACCAAACAAAATCAGTACCAGTCAAAACCCTATCCAGGCATATCTGAAGATATGCCAATCAAACTGAAAATTATTAACATTACAAATTAATGACCAAAATGCAGAAGATGTTATGCATCATTATAAATGTCAATATAAATTTCTACTGTCTTAAGAGACATTTACAACTTCACTGAATTGCAAATTCAATACTTACAAATTTAATAGATGAGAAAGTAATGGGCATGACATTTCAGACTATTTTCCTTGATAGGGTCTAGGAATCATGAATCCTTTTTCAAAACCATGAACATTTTTTAGCACAGAATTATTATACAGCAGAACAGTTGTTCTGCACCAACGATTTAATCCAGATGACAGTCATCAACTTGTAATTACACTTGGCACATGCTCTGGAATGATGTCAGTGTCCCAGAACAAAACAGTTTGAAAGATTAGTGTATTTCTTCATAGAGTTGATTAGTCAAGGCTACAGAATGACAATGCATCTAAGTTCCAAAAGCTATTTCAAAGACCAGTGTTCTGCAAAAGCATAAAGGTGGTTAATCATGGTTTACATGAACCAACCATCTGAAATTAATAGGTGTGGTACAATGAATGAGAAGAGTAAACATGCAGGAAAACTGGTCATGCATACAAGCTAGGCAGCCCTGCTGGATACATCCTGTTTGTTATGTGTACATCAGATGGCTCTCAACCATAACTTTTCACACGGTTTTCAGAGAGACTATTTCAGCATACGAAACTGGAAGTTGCTTTCTTACGTTGTTCCACAGGTCAGTAGCCATTAATTCTAAAATATACTTTGATTAATTACTGATACTATTCACTTTAAGCTCCACTGTAATTGCATTAACTAGAATTATACCACAGTTACAATAAATGAACACAAATAAAAATGTGGTATACTAGTAACTTCATAGCGAAAAAGCATATTAATCTTTTAAAATGCAACAAGTACATCACTATTTTGTTAAAACAATTACTATGGAGGTGATTACAATTTCAAAGTTGTCATTAATTTTCACACAGAATGACCTCATTATGAACATATATCATAATGCACACAATGAACTAATTCGTGAAAGGGATATTTGAGGCTAATTATCTTTTATTAAAAAAGAAATTTGATGGCCTGCAACAAAAATCCAGATATTCCCAATGCAAGTCAAGTGTTGTATTTTAAATTCCCAAAATAATGTATTTTTTCTTCCTGCTCTGCATTTAAATTAATTTAAGGAGTCACAGGGCAATAATTTCACTTTTTACATAGTCACACATGCAGAATATGCTAAAAATGAAGCATGTTTATGCATAATTTTGTCATTTTGCAAATTTTTCTTCAACTTTGAACCATCTTAAGCGAGTCGACATAAATCAGAATATTGCTTCAGAAGCAGTCAGTAAACAGATTTGAGCACCGTAAGAGTTTTTTTTTTCTAAACTAGAAAAAGATCTTGGCTTTTCAGTCTATCCGCACCCCTTATGATTTTATAAACCTCTACAAAAACCCTCAGCCTCCGACACTCCAGGGCAAAAAGCCCCAGCCTATTCAGCTTCTCCCTATAACTCAAACCGTCCAGTCCTGACAACATCCATGTAAATCTTTTCTGCACTGTGTCAAAGTTTAACAACATTCTTCCTACAGAAGGACGACCAGAATTGTAAGCAATATTCAATAAGATATTTTCAAGTCAGCATAGTGACTTACATGGAGAGGAACTTGCAGGTGGTATTCCCATGTATCTGCTGCCCTTGTCCTTCCAGGTAGAAGTCACTGTGGTTTGGAAAGTGCTGTCAAAAGATCTTTGGTGAATTACTGCGGTGCATCTTGCAGTAAATACACACTGCTCCCACAGAGCATTAGTGGTGGAGGGAGTGGATGCTTGCAGATGTGATGCCAATCAAGCAGGTCATGTCCTGGATGGTGTCAAGCTTCTTGGGTGTTCTTGGAGCTGCACCCATCCAAGCAAGTGGGAAGCATTCTGCCACACTCCTGACTTGTGCCTGGACAGGCTTTGGGAAGTCAGGTCAGTTACTCGCCACAATATTTCTAGCCTCTGAATCAGTCACGTAACCACTGAGTTTATGGGACAATTCCAGTTGAGTTTCTGGTAAATGGTAAATCCAAGGACATTGATTGATGGGGTTTCAGTAATACTAACACCACTGAATGTCAAGGGGCAGTGCTTAGATCACCTCTTATTGGAGATGGTCATTGCCTGGCCTTTGTGTGGCGTGAATGTAACTTGCCACTTGTCAGCTCAAGCTTGAACGTTGTCCAGATCTTGTTTCATTTGAACATAGGCTGCTTCAGTATCTGAGAAGTCACAAATGGCACTGAACGTTGCACAGTGAGCATCCCACTTTTGACCTTTTGAAGGAGAGTAGGTCATTGATGAAGCAGCTGAAGATGTTTGGGCCTAGAATAATACCGAGGAACTCCTGTAGAGAGATGCTAGAGCTGAGATGACTAATCTCCAACAATCACGACTACTTTCTGGTGTGCCAGGTATGACTCCAACTAGAAGAGAGTTCTCCTCCGATACCCATTGATTACAGTTTTGCTAGAGTTCCTTGATGCCACGCTTGGTCGAATGCAGCCTTGAGGTGAAGGGCTGTCAGTCCCACCTCACCTCTGGAATTCAGCTCTTTTGTCCATGTTTGAATCAAGGCTGCAGTGAGATCAGGAGCTGAGTGGCCCTGCCAGAATCTAAACTGAGCAGGCTATTGCTGACCAGGTGTTGCTTGAAAGCACTGTTGATGACACTTTCCATTACTTTATTCATGATCGAGAGTACACGGATGGGACAGTAATTGGAAGTGTTGGATTTATTCTGCTTTTTGTATACAGGAAATACCTGGCAGTTTTCCACATTGTGGGGTAGATGCCAGTGTTGGGATTGTACTGGAAGAGCTTGGCTAGAGAGGCTGTAAGTTCTGGAACACAAGTGTTCCGTATTATATCAGGGATTTCATCTGACCCCATAGCCTTTGCAGTATCCAAGGCCACCAAACATTTATTGATATCACATGGACTGAATCAAATTACATAAAGACTGATATCTGTAATGCTTGGGACTACTGGAGGAGGCCATGATGGATCATCCACTTAAGATTGCTGTAAATGCTTCTGCCTTATCTTTTGCATTAATGTACTGGGCTTCTCCATTACTGAGGAGGAGGAGGAGGATATATGCAAAGCCATCTCCTCCAGTGAGTTGTTCAGTTGTCCACTACCATTCACAACTGGATTTGGCAGGACTGCAGAGCTTAGATCTGGTCGGTTAGTTGACTCTGCCTATTACTTGTTGCTTATATTGTTTGGCATGCAAGTAGTCCTGTTTGCTAACTTCACCAGGCTGACATCACATTTTCAGGTATGCCTGGTGCTGATCTAGACATGCCTTCCTGCAATCTCCATTGAACCAGGGTTGATCCCCTGACTTGACAGTAATGGGTAATGGGTAAGTGGGGGTTATGCCAGGCCATGAGGTTGTAGACTGTGGTGTACAATTCTGCTGCTGTTGGCGGCCCACAGTGCCTCATGGATGCCCGGTCTTGAGTGGTTAGATCTGGTTGAAGTCTGGCCCATTTAGCCCAGCGATAGTGCCACACAACACGATGGAGGGTATTCTTGATGTGAAGCTGGGTCTTTGTCTCCACAAAGACTGTGCGGTGGTCACTCTTAGCAATACCATCATGGAGTGATGCACCTGCAGCTAGCATATTGATATAGAGGAGGGTAAGTAGGTTTTTCCCCTCTTATTGGTTCTCTCACCACCTGCCACAGATCCAGTCTAGCAGTCCTTTAGAAGTCAACCAGCTGAATCAGTAGTGCTGCTGCCAAGCCACTCTAGGTGGTGGACAGTGAAAACATCCACTCAGTATATTTTGCACCTTTGCCACCCTTATAGCTTCCTCCAACTGTTGCTCAACGTGGAGGAGAACTGATTCATCACCTGAAGGAAGACAGTCTGTGGTTAACAGCAGAGGAAATGCTTCCCATGTTTAACCTGAAGTCATGAGACTTCGTGTCTG